CCTTTTTTGCATGGAAAATCTTGAATATCTGGGTTTGCATTTCTCCCATGGAGTATTTCTTCTAAAGACTATTTATTAAGGGCATTCTCTGCACAACCTGTGGAGATGCGTAGATAAAAACAAAAGCCCCAGAAATAAATACCCTTATTTTCAAGAAGTCTTTACATGTTTTGTTACAAGGCTGTAACATCTTTGTTCAGGCTCTTGAAGACCATTTCAAACAATCCTTTCTTCTGGGAGTTGGCACTCAAGTCTATGACTGCTCCAGAATTCACTGCAACATGTGGAAAGCTTAGGATGTACTCCCTAAATTCTGTAAGGATGTTTTTGCCTAAACTGTAGGATCTAAGCATGATAGTTAGCAATTCCAAAGAGATGTGTTTTGCAATACTATTTATTTCTTAGGTACTTTCTGTGGAGGTACCTCTGCAAGACTAGAGCAGAGGCCAAGATCGTGACATCCATCTTTGTTGTAAGGCTTGGACTCACTACAGCCAATGATAGAGGACTGCAGGAATTTTGCCAGGCTGGGACCACAGTCCCTTCGGCTTTCAGTGCACTTTCAAAAGTCATTCCAATCTCAGATGAATCCACAGGTACTCTGCCTGAAAAGGTCATCCTGGCTCTTAGTCATTCCATTTAAGTACCTAAAATCAAGTAAGGTGAATCATGGTGAGAATGAATCATCATATGATTTAGAACGAAATTAACATTGGCCACCAGAAGAAAATATGTGAGTGTAGTAGAATCACTCACAAAATGACCAGTATTTCCAACACGTCCAAGAGATCTGGATATAGTGTTCAATATTTTCTTGTAGTAATTGCATTGATGTTATTTTTGTCCAGCATTATACAGCAGGTGATTATAATGGTGCCTAAGAAGTAGATCCTCATAGCTTTGGGGATTTCAGATGCCCACTTTGAAAACACTGTGATACTGCAGGATTTATTCAGTAAAAGCTGACAAAAGTCAGATTTGTTCAGGATTTTAGTTCCACTTGTTTAGCATTATACAACGTGATGCCATCACCAGTACTTTAATTTTACAGAGCTGATGAGCATTCACAGCTCCTCCTAAAGACAGCAAAATATGTAACTACTTGCACTTCTGGTAATTGGGTTCTGGCACAATGTGTTTCAGAGTGAGACATTCAAAAGCTAGAGTACTTAAAATTAGTAGTTTTGCAACTTTGAGCTCTTCCTCATTCTGTTAAAAGGAAATGAACTGAGGATATAGACTTCTGAAAAGAGAACCCTGAGCTCTGCTGCACACCATTTATTTTCCTATTACTCTTTGAATATTGTTTATTTCACATGTTGTATATCTCCTTACCTCCCTTTCCTCTTTCTTTTTTTTAATTGGGACCTGGTTATTGGCTGGAAATTCCACTAGCATGACTCATCCCTGAGCTGAAAATTACTGTGAACAGGCATCACATTGTGGGATTTACTCCCTCCCTTCTTTTTCAGTTTCTAAGTACTTTATCATGGCACGAGCTTGTAATAATAAACTAGGAAGGAAGTAGGAGCTAATCATTTGGTTCTGAATGCACAAGCCCTGCCAAATTTCCCCACAGGCATGAAACAGCCGCTCAAGCTGTGACACCAGCAAATTAAATCCTGGAGGTAGCTGACCAGAAGTAATGAAATGTGTATTTACCATACTGATGCTGTCAGTCTTAAGGCACACTGGCTTTACAATCTAGTTAAGTGGGGCACGTTTGTCACTTCCAGCAGTGCTTAGGAAAAATGCTCAGGTTTTTTCCTAGCCTTCCTTTCAAAATCACCAGCCCAGTTCTGTCTGGTAACCCTCACCTTGTACAACGTGGAAAACAGGATGACCAGAATGGTCTGTTCTTTTAAAACGCTGCCAAAGTCAAATTCAAATCCCAAAGGAGATTTCATCTTATGACCCGTTAATTGTCAAGTCTTTTTGTCCATCCCTTATCTGCCACTTCATTCTATAATCCAAACCTTAGAGATAAAATTAATTGATAAGAGCTCTTTCAAGAGCCTATGGATAATAAGCAACAGATGCCTCCTACAAACCATGTGTCCCATGCATGCAGCAGTTTAAAACCCTGTGAGCACACAGTGATGTGGAAGAGGGACAAATAATCACTGAAAAGGTACCACTCAAGAGAGGGATTCATTATGCTGGTGGGCACAGGCATGGGATGGATGAGGCATGCAACTACTAAAGAGATGTCACTTAAAAAATGCCTGTATATCATGGCAGCAGTGGTTCAAGAGCGTCTGGACACGGAGGAGGGAAGTTATTTCACAGTCCCCACATGCTTAAGGTCATAAAGGACTCAGAAAAAGTTATTTACCCCAGTCAGATGTTGTCGTAGGTAACCAGAGCGTTTGTCTGAGAGGTTTTATTTAGCTAGCAGAGGCATTCTATGCCAGTTGTGTGAGGACTGTTCAAGAAGGTTAGTGAATCATTTGTTCAGTGGTATTTGCTGTGGATTCACAAAAACATTGAGAGGGGAAAAAATGGAAGCACAGTTTTCAACATGGGTAATACAATACCCATGGATGAATCAAAGAATAAAATCACAACCCATATGAACCCTCTCTGAAAGCATCAAATTATATTTTAGGAATGTCTGTGACTCTGCAATTATATGCCTAATTTCCAGCTGTACTCGATTAACATCACAAATGATTTATAATACAACCAACTACAAGGAACTTGCTTTGAACTGTTTGCTGCACATATAAATTTTGTTTGGCACTTTTGGCTGTCTCTTCACAGCCAGGTAGGCACATTGAGTTAAGACCATGTGGTTCAGTGGCAAGGCCGAGGGAAGGCCAGAGTAATTTTAGAGATAACAGCATTCTTTTTCCTTTAGTGAAGCATTCAAATGCAAGTCTGTGGAAGGTCAAAACCCAGACTTCTATGGGATTATACATGCACTTCAAGCTTAATATGTAGAAATAACCTTGCTGAATCCTTGGTTGGTCTTCAAATACAACCTTGGTTTCTGTGATACAATGACACACATGCTTCTGATAAGCCAGTTCGTGTGTGGCTTTCTTTTGCTGTCTTCCCACATCAGGAGGGCTGAAGTAAGATTCATTCCACATTTCCTCAGTGCACAGAAAATGGGGAGGAGGGAGGATAAGAGAACCTCTGCTTGTTTTTGACCGGATCTAAACATGTTTGAATCTGTGTGAATTGAAATGCTAGACTGGGATTTTAGGCAAAATACAACCACTTGATCTGTGGTGTTTTGATCTGCTCGAGGGTCAGGCTGTTGAATTCAGGTGAGGCTAAGGAGAACACGTGAAAGCTTTTACATAATTGTAGCCTTACCCTGTAAACCTCTTGGAGCAATTGCTCTGCCATCTGGCAACAACTACCCAGGCTTCTGCACCAAAATATTCTTCCATTGATAGCACTGGCTTATAGAATTTTAACAACTTAAAAGTAATTTTTAAAAAGACTAATCAAAGTAAACCTCAAATCAGGAGTTAAAGTTGCATTGCCTCGGTTTGTAATCGAAGGGTTGAAGCTGTTTAGAGAAGTTTTCCTTTTCGGGCCAGACTTGTTGCCTTGTCCTCATGTTGGATCAGATGAGTGGGTTTGCTTAGGTCCTTTTTCTCAATCTATAGTTTTACCTGTAGGATAATATTGCCTTAGGTACACTGCAAATGTCAAAGCCCAATGATAACAGCATAAATAGGTGAAAAGATGAACAGATGAACTACTGTTGTTTAAAATCCTACACTCCTAGAACAAATGCTTTGTTCTTGGTGGGAGTTGTTGTTGTTGCTGGGTTTGTTTTTTTTGAATGCCAGGAGTTGGCAACACCATATGTGTGATTTCAAAATAGGGATCCTGGCTCCTGCAGCATAAATCCCAGAAAGATTATTCTCCTGGAAGAATCCCCACTAAACAAAACTACAATAAGGCAGGAGGTAGCCAGGCAGCTAGAATTAATCTCTGAAGGAAGTATCGAGCTTTTTGGTACAGAAAGAACTTGACTGAATAAGTTGCAAACTAGCCATGGGTTCCCACCCTGCCCTGAGAGCTCAGCCTGTGAAGATGAAGGAGAAAGAGATACTGTAGAGTTGGGAACTGAAAATATCAGATATTACAGTTTTCACGGGGGTTAAAAAAAATTCTAAGGAGCGGTGTAGTCTAATAAACAAAGAAGCAACTCTTAATGTAAGCTTCAACTTTTCCTTCTCATTAGTTACCGTGAATCTGTTTTGAAACAAGTACTTCTCCTGATAGCTGGTTTGAAATTAATAAAAAGGAAAGGGTTTTTAGCTGTCAATGACTTAACATGCTCATGATACATGGAAACAAGGTTAAATTGCCCCTTTCTCTCTACTACTAATAAAAGAAATATTGAAAATTAAATGCTGTAGCTTAGGAAGTGAAAAATGTCAGCCAAAACTACGGACATAGTGCTGAGAGCTGCTTATCATCTGGTACTTGCTGGAGTGGGCATAATTGGAAAAGCTTAGTCAGTGCCAAGAATTATTCTGCAGTTGTAGGCTTTCAGAATATATTGCATTGAGGAATATATGATCCCGTTTCTGCAAGATAAAGGAGTCTCGGTTTAATAATATGTTTTTCAGGATTTAAATGACTTTGAGACTTTATTGGAAATCCTCTTGCCCTGACACTCTTTTCAGTCTCATCCTTCTTCTGCTCCACTTCACCTTCTGTCAGGAAAGAATGACAGGGGCTTTGTTCCTCGGGATGTAAGGAATGAAGTATCCAGAGCATCGGAAAGCACGTGGCAGAATCCAGCCTGTGCTGCAGGGAGACTGACCTGATAATCAAGTGCCTGTGAACTATGTGGCTGACTGTGAATTGTAGTCTGAAATAATTGCTAGGATTTTATGTAAACTCTCTCAGGGAATACAAAATGTAACTTTATTGCAAATATAATATGAGTATCTTATGATCTTATGGGAAATGTGTGAAAGCAAAATAATTTATTTTACTTCAGCAGACTCTTTATTCTTGTCTTGCAGAATGCAGAACCTTTCCAAGTTACTGTCCGAGAAGACAATTGTATCATTGTCTCCCTGGAAGCATCTGATGTGGTGAGCTCGTCCTCTGTATATGTTGTGAAGATAGCTGGAGAATCCAAGAACTACTTTTTCCAGTTCGAAGAATTCAATAGCACTTTACCTGCCCCTGTTGTTTTTAATGCCAAATACCATGGCCTGTATTACATAGTAACTCTCTTGGTAGTGAACTCAAATATGGTTTCCAAGTCAGCAAGATCAATCACTGTGTTAACCAGTAAGTAACACCTTACTCTTTTTTTTCTTCTGTTTCTTGTCTTTTTGGGGGAAGGGGGTTGTTCCCCAGAAGTTCTTCTTAGGGAGAAGGTTGGGTATGTTTGTGGTTTTTTTTCAGTAGGTCCTGCTTGTGTGTAGGATGCATCCCTGTGTAAGAATAGTTGGGAAGATATCTTGAGAAGGTTTGAGTGAAAATTCACAAGGTCTGGGCAAGAAGAAAGGAATGCCTGTAGGTTTCCCCTGGCTGACCGTTCCTGAACACTGAGATGTAACATGCTGAAATAGTGTGATGGATGAACCTCCTTTTCAGATTTTCATCCTAAATCCTTCGAACCAGGAGTTCTAAAAATCTAGTACAAGGCATGAAAAGTGTTGACTGACATTTCAATGTAAAGCACTCCTGTTACATGGTGAAGTTTACTCTGTTTTAAATGCTATAACAATGTTCTTTGATTGCTAATATGTTGAAGCAGTAGTAAAAGTCACCAAAATGTAGTAGTAGTAGTTTGTCTCTTACTACCTCCAGGTACATTGTTCATGGGGGAGATGTGGGATTTTGTTTGCTCTGTCATCATGCAAAGCAGCACAGATTTCTGTGTGATTCCAGCTGTGTTTCTGGCTCCGAGATTGCTCCAGAACTGTTTCCATGTGCCAATGTGAAAACAAGTTGTAGAATATAAAATGATTTCTTCATCTGGAAAATGACAAAAATTTATTTGGATGGAGCAAGACCAATTTCCAGATTTTTGTTGTTGTTGTTGTTGCTAAATGGCACCTGGGAATCTATGGGTGGTTTTAGTTGGTTTACAGCTGAGGAATGATTATGATTTTTTGTACCTCTGTTGTTTTTTCAATGAGGAAATTTCCATCATCCACTGTAATAGCATTCAAAGCCTGTTAAAGTAGACTCATATGTTATTGAGTGTGCCTGAAATTTAGGACTAACGAGATTTTACATCACCTATATATTCTTCAGCCTTTCTTTGTGTGCTAAAGTTGTGCAGTGATGAGGGCAACCATGAAGAGTACCATGGGAAAAATGTCATGTTGTTGGGTAATGAAAGTCTAAAGGCATATGTGCAAGAACATCTGTGCATAGTGAACAACTTCAGGGTTTGTAGGCAGCCTGAATGTCCTCTTCTTTGACTGCTGTAACCTGGCATACAAAATAATAATTCTAATCCAATTTCCTACTTTACATTTGTTTTCTTCAAAGAATATAATGGTAGCATCCAGTGTCACATGCAACTGAAAAAAAAGAGCCTCAGTATGCATTTTTAGCGGGTTTTGAATGCTGCATTTGCAGCTGTGCAACAGGGCTCTGCTCTTTCATTTCCAGAGCCCAGAAAGGTCTCTGGTAGCAGGGAAAGTGTGATCCAAGATGACAGATGGTATACACACTTCTGTGGAATCTCTGAGGGAAGAAGGAAGCCGACCAAAGCCAGCCCCAGACTTCCCATTTCTACTTGAGGGAATTTCTTCAAGGTGTTCCTGAAGAAGCGTGAGGCTGATGGCTCCAAGGGGCATATCCCTTGTCTCTGTCCCTCCTCCATATCTTGATGGTGTCCTTCCTGATGGAAAGAAGCCCACCCCTTTTCACCACCTGTCTTATGTGGGTGTGTGCTGGCAGCATCGTGGGGTTTCCTGCTGTGGCCTCTGCTGCTCACCCACATCTTTGAAGGACCAATGATTTTGGCAGTCAGCCAGCCCTGCTTGGGGAATCCACGTAACAAAAAGGGAACAACGGGTTTCTCTGGTTTTGTCTCAACAGAAAGACAACCAGATTCACGGAAAAGAAACCACATTCCTGCAGGCAGCATTGAAGGATGCTTTACTGAGCATTAAAAGTAAATTCTGAACTCCGGAAGGGAAAGGGTCCAATCTCCTGCATAATATTTTCTGTCGGGCAGAGTGATGAGTGCTGGCTCTCATGTAGCAGCCTCTGCTACTAAGACAGTTCATCTTTTGGAGCACAAGGCTACAGCAATGAAAGTAAATTTGGAATGAAAAGACAGTGTGGCAGGGTGGGATTTTTTAAGGCATTTCAGTACCTTTCAGCTTTTGAGAAGAGATCTTTAAACTCCGGTAGTGACCACTGGCTTCTCCTACAAAAATTCATGAGGTGATAGCTGCTTTGGGGTTTTATTTTCCTCTTATTGTTATTGTCCACTGCCTGTTTTACATAATTTTATGACTACTAATTAACTTGATGTTTTTTGGCAGACAGTAATTAGGATAGTTTCATATTTTATTTCATGCCTTATGCTCTCTCAGCCTGTTTAGCATTCTTGTTTTATTTTAACCATGCAAAGACATAGAACTATCTAATTTATTCCATCTATATCTTACTCATGAAATAATGGCACATTGCAGCTGACTTCTATGGCCAAATTAATTCCTGTTCTAAGTTCATTGATATCAGGAGAGCTTTACCAGTGGCAGATTGGCCCCATTCATTACACTGGTACAGAATAAATCAAACAGGATAGCCAGTGATGCCAATGTGGTTATTCCCAAGGCTGTACTTCGATTTTCACAACAGTTTTCTGGGATGTTCTGATGTCTGCAAAGGAAACTGTGCAGGGAGATGCAGTCTTTCAACTTGGCCATATGCTGCAGATCTGAGCAGTGTGTATTCAAATCGAGCAGGTCAAAACGAGACCAAGGTCCTTCAAAGACACTGGCTACTTAGAAATTCGGTGAGAGTCATGAAAGACCTCTGCTTTCTGATGGTATATCTTGATGACATTTCCTTTCTCCTATTCACATCTCTCAGCAGTATGCTACATCTAAGCAAATTGGCAAGAAATGACTACGTCTCTTCACAGGTTGAAGCTTTTGAAGAGAAGACTCCATTTGAGTAAGAGAAGACTTGTATTACCCCTTAAAGGTTTCTGGCCAGAAAAGCTTTTAAAAGATAACAAAATATATATTTATACATTATGTCTGTGCATATATAGATATATACGTGTAACTATAAATACATATATGTGTGCATAAATATGGACATACAAAAATATAAAATAACATTATATAAATATACATATAGCATAGAATGATAGTATCATTTAGGTTGGAAAAGACCTCTAAGATCAACAAGTTCAACCATTAAACTAACACTGCCCCACTAGCCCATGTCTCTTCACCAGTGCTGAGTACAGGAGCATGATCACTGCCCTAGTCCTGCTGGAAACACTATTTCTGATCCAAGCCAGGGTGCCATGTTTAGGATTGCCTCAACTGAAGTAAAGCATCTTGCACGTGGACTTGTTGAACTTCATAAAGTTCTTATGGGCCCACTTCTAGAGCGTGTCCAGATCCGTCTGGAGGGCATCCCTTCATTCTGTTGTGTCACTGCAGGCTTGCTGATGGTGGACTCAATCTCACTGTCTTATGTCATTGATAAAGGTCTTAAGAGCTCCAGTCCCAAGGCAGAGCCCTGAGGGACAGCACTCATCACTGGCCTCCAGCTTTCTGGAAGTGTCTATCCAGCCAATTGCTTATCCACCAAATAGTCCATTCAAATCCATATCTCTTCAGTTTAGAGATAAGGATGTCATGTGAGACCATGCCAAAGGCCTTACAGAATTCTGTAGGTAGGTAGTACTGAGTCCAATTTGCTGAATACAGCTTCGCTACAGAATCAGAAGAAAAAGTGCTATTTTGTGCTCAAATTCCATGTTACTGGTTTCCTATCTAAGAGCTGAAGGCACGCTCTCTGTTCATATCATCCTTCTTATGTCGCAGGTCAGGAAGCAATGCAAGGATGTGGGCTGTGCTCAAGCTGACAAAACCCTTGGGCTCTGTCTCAGTTTAATGAGACTGAAGTGTTTTGCTAAGGAGGATGAGTTATGAGGAAGACCAAGCTCCTCTCTCTAAGCGATTGTAAATCCGAAATTAAGGGGCTCCAACTGAGGAAGTATGGAGAAAGAAAAAGATAACAGCCCTTTATCAAAGGATATATGTGTACTGGCAGAACAAAAAGAGAACACAAAAACAGCTAAACAATAATCTTGCACCCAAAGTTCCCTACGAAGAAAAAACAGTTCAGTACTTTCCGCCTTTTGGCGCAATTCTAACCGCGGTCAGCAGGAGGCACTGCTGGGCTCTGGTGGTCACTGCGTGGGGCCCCAGTGTGCAGGAGAAGCCGAAAATGGGGAACTCTCCCCTCACCGAGAAGGGGAAGGGGAAAAGGGGAAAAGAAGGGCTTTTCCCACAGACTCACACTGTCGGCGGCTGGCTCTGGCCGGGATTTTCCCCCCTTCGTTGACGGGCACAAGCCACTGCCAGCATGGGAGCTGCGGAGGGAAGGGGCGGTCCCCTCCCCCAAAGGTTCCTTCACAGAAGGGCCAAGCCTCTCCCAGGACATCTGAGCCAAGTCCAGGCTGGGGGCAGAACAGGGCGCAGGAAAATGGAAGCAAACCGGGGCCAGAAGCAGCCAGATGACCTGGCCGAAACCAAAATGAAATTTAGAACCCCTTCACACAAAGACCCTCCCTGAGTCAGGGAAAAAGTGAAGTGCCTGCAGTTTCCCGAGGGGAGAATAAAAAAAACCCTCACCATCTCCGTCCTCCCCAGGTCTTTTGAGGACCATCAGCTTGGAATGTGAGTCTGCTGGCTAGTTCTTTTGTGTGTGTCAATCACCCTAGCCAAACCACCCTCCCCCTCCCTCATCCAACATCTTTCTTTCACAGTGATGCAGGGGAAAGAAAAATTCCCCACTTGGTTTTTAGAACAAGTAAACCTATGACAGGCTCTGATAAGACATATTGCAACAAATATCCTTTGCATTACAACAATCTGGACTACGAGACCTAAACAAGGAAACCCTATAGTTTGTGGTCTTTTGATTAACATGAGAAAGCCCTGAAGAGACAAGCAAAACATAAATTTGGAAAAGGCCCAAATTAACATGGGAACCTCAAATGTTAGCATACCTACATGAATATATGACACGCACACAAGGACATGATCCAAGACAGCCATCATGGCTTCACTAAG